TGCTGATTAGTACAGGAAAGGAAGTCCTGTCTGCTCCCAGCTATAGCTGAGAGGCACAAACTGCAGGAGGAACATAGCAGCAGCAGCAGCACCTGGACAGAAGTCAGTGATAAGTAGCCCTTTAATCCTGTGTTCAGACAATGGGCAGGGAGGTGGAAGGTTAATAAGGGGAAGGTGAGAGGAGACCTGAGAAGTGGAGGGGAAAGGAAAAAAGAGACATGTAAAAAAGGCAGGAAGAGAAGGTCTGAGGATACCAGCATAAGGCAGGACTTGAAGCTTAGGCTTGAGCACAGGTTAAAAAAAAACAACAACCACCACATATGGATGGGAGATAAGGGAAAATAACAGGTACACTGAACAGGGTTGTGTGGGGTAAAAATAGAGGAGAAAAGAGCAACACGCTGAGTTTCTTTGGTTTGCCTGTCTAGTCACCCTGTCCTCCTCCCATCTACTGTGAGATGGATTTAGAGTGGGAGGAGGTAAGAGGAGAAATATAAGAGAAGAAACAGCCCTTTGTGTCTCTTCTGATCGGGGAAATGAGTGTGAGGGAAAGAGAGAGTGGTTGATGCAGCAGTGTGATTTGTCAATTTTCCTGGCGTCTCCTTGTCAACAAGAGCAAATGTGATCTTGTTCTCAGAGTTGCTGCTGCATGTTTAGGCTTGGCAGAATTTTATTTAAAAAAAAATAATTTTGATGGATAATATTGATATTTATTTTTAAGCATTTTATCTATTTAATTTTTTATCAATTTAAATTTTCACAGTTATAGGAAATTATGGTGTCCCAGACACTAGGGAGTGTCAGACAATAATTATTTAATGACAGATGTTGCGATTCAAAAAGTTAAAGCTTTATAACTATTAAAACACAAATTGCCAACATCACCTGTCAAAATATACAAAATAAATCACACTCTAATAAGTTATCAAGCAGCAGTTTTCTTTCTTTGCCCCTCTGTAAATTTCAGTTATTATTAATGGAAATATTTCCCCATCACTTTGTGTGTGGGGGGTAGAACTGATACTTGGCGCTATAATCTAACCCTTCCAAGCTTATGCGTGTTGCAACAGAGAGACTCACTTTTTGAGATGTGACTTTTGTTCTGTCTTGAGTTGTTGTTTCCCTTACTTTAGATTAAGTCCTTGTCCTTCTGCCTGAAAGTAGTATGACTGTGCTTGGGGTATGAATAACCAAACCATGGGAGAACTGCAGGTGTACCCCCACTTCCTCCTTCAACAGCCACCCCAGCCTTGGCTGACTTAAGGAAATGACATGATGCCTGTGGAAGTACCAACCTCACTGTATGTGCAGTGATCTTATCAGGGAACGGGTTCTTCCTAGTGTCTGTCATGACATGAGACGTCCCTGCCTGTCAGCACCATTAATAAGTGCAAGCAGGCAAAAGAGAAGGTGCCTCTATCATTCAAAGAATTCTTCCACCTCCCAAATTGTGAGTATAAGTAAGAGAGATACCAGGCTGGGGTAGGGAAGGCACACCCCCTAGAAAAGCTGACAAACAACTCTCCGCCCCAGGTTGTCCTACTAAGCAGTCAACATACACTCAGCCTACAGCTTGCATATCTCTGAAGGCGATATTGTTGACTGCATAAAGGTCTTACTTTTCCTTAAAGGATGCACATGGAAGATTTTATTATCTTGTTTGCCTAGTGGCAGGGCCCCAGTCTTCCTACCATTTCAGTAGGAGTTACTCATATACTGAAATGGCAAAGCAGGGCCTCACCTGTTGAAAGAAAAATAAATCAAGGTCTGATTCTCTGATGCCTTGTACTTAGTGTAGTCATTTATTCTTGTCAGTCAGTGTAGAATGCTACCATGGGAGCATTTGATACCTACTTTGCAGTGGTGTAAATGATGATACAAGGCAGCATATAGCCTCTTTGGGACATCAGCTAGATTCAGATACTACCCCTCAATCCTGCTCATTATTCCAGAAGAGTTAACAAAGTACGGAGCTTCCACACTCCTGTCTGTTATGAATGGCACTATTCATTAATATGAATGGTTTAAGTGTACAGTTGCCCTTTTGCAGTTAGGTGCTTTCCTGTGTAAGAACACCAGTGGTGAAGTTATTGACGTAACCCCTTTTCCTGGGGCCTTTAAAAGGCTTCTGGGCAGTCACTTGCAGCCCTTCTTTAGCACTTTCCTCAGAGAATCTCAAAGTGCTTGCAAACCAACAGGTAAGTATGATCCCTATTTTATGGATAGGGAAGTTGAGGCACAGAGCTTGCACCAGATCATGTAGTTTCATGCTGTAAGAGGCTGTAGCAAGGCGCAGCTGAGCCCCTCTTGCTTCTGCCCCGATGCCCTCACAACCCAGTCAGGGACACCTCAGGTTGATGCAATCACCACTGTACTTTATTTATATCTATTTCCCACCACCACCTTACTATTGATATACAGGATTTTACAGCCAGGCTTCACAAACAGCAGACCAGAACTGTCGGCCTCTGGCCTCAGCCTTTCTCATCTCCCTCCTCCCTTCCTTTATAGCCCCGGGCTAATTAAGCTGTTGCTAGTTGCCAGGCTGGCACAGGTCTATTCAGCTAGCCCCAATCCATTCCCCTTAATTGGGGCTGGCATGGCAGGGGACTGATTCAGCACTCCTTGCCCAGCACCCAGCCCCAGAGGGGCTGGACATTTTGGCCCCAATCCAGCAAAGTACATCACATAAATGGTTCCATGCTTAAGCGCTTTGGTGGGTTGGGGCCAAAATGCTCAGCATCTTGCAGGAGTGCAACCATAATTTGTGGCAGAGTCAGTCTTAGCATTCATATTGTCTGTTCCTAGGCTCGTGTGCACACTCTGAGACCAACAAAGAACTCAAGTTCATAACCCCACTCAGAAACAAGGGCAGATTTACAGCTATACATGAGATATCCCAGGCTTTGCCCTCTTCATTAAATAGAAAAGTGTGGTGGTATTTACCTCCTATACAGTCTAGCAATGGTGCCCTTCATTGCAATATCGGTGCACCTAAGTGTGTAATATCTTAGCTAAACATTGACTCTTTGAACAGCAGCTCTGTTGGAAGGAGTCCTGTGGTTATCTCAGTTGCACAGGTTGGTTCTGGAGCCAGCACAGCAGACTGCTCTCTCAATTTGCCCCTTTTCCAGTTGGATTAAATGACACCAACTCCCAGCAGTTCAGGAGAATGCACAACTTATATTCAAGCCCAGGCCACATCATTGCCCGGCTAACTGCAACTGAGCTGTATAATGAACCCCTCACTCTGGGTTCCTTACTGCAGGAGATCTTGAAACCTCTGCCTCTGAAGGCAGTTATGATTTTTTATTCCTATTTGCTTTGACCCATCCCAGGAGGGGCAGGTTTGTTACTACCCAGTGACATTGTATTAGTTCATGGGATTTTTAGGGTTCAGACAGGTTGTTGGTGACCTCTGCCAGCTTGGAGTCATTTCCCTTTTTATGGACTATCACACACAACACTGGGAGACAAAAAACAGGTAAGCCCAGCTCTTTTTAAACAAGCTAGAAGGCACAATAGTTTTGGATACTGTAAACTTTCCTTTTGTCCCTACCCAGCCAAGAGAGCCTTGCAGCTGCTCAGGAGTGCTCTGGGTTGTGCCTGCCAAACAGGTACCGTCCTAGCTCCCTGAGGGCCTGTAGCAAAGGGCTGCTTGAGCTCAATTAGAAACGGTTTCCACTGTGCCTTTATGAGCATAAGTGTGAACAGTCCCTGTAAGACTCTGGGATCCAGCAATATACTGGGTGTAGGTAATATATACGCTGGTGGATATTGCTCTTTTCAGCAAGGCAGTTGGAGCAATGATTTCTTTGAAGCTTCCTATGTTTTGTGAGCTATAACATCACTTTTAGTAAGATAGCGATCAATTGGCAGGCCACTGCCGCAGTATTAATTATAAAGGACTTGAACCTGCATCCAGCACTGCCCCTGGAGTGCACAGGTACATCAGCGCATAAGGACCCCCCTGCAAATGTTGTTTATTTAGAGGAAATCAAACGCTTCCCCCTTTCCTGCTGCAGTCCTCTTGTTCCTACCCTCTCAAAGCAAGCCTGTGTCTGTTCCACACCAAAGTGGTTGCAGTGCACTACACTAGCTGTCCAAGTATCACTGAGGTTTCTACAGATTAAGGGGACATTACAATAGGTTTGGGGTGGCATGGGAACTGTTGCTCTTCTAAACAGATGAGGGGATGTAGTTACCTTGGCAACAGTTACAGCATATTCCCCCTCCCACGATGGGGGCAAAGGGGCTTCAGACTTTAAAAAGTTTCCTAAATTCATACTCACTCATATCCCTTTAGTCAAATGGATTTCAAAGCACTATCTTTGAAAATTGTGCCTTGTTACTAGTTTTTAAGAAAAGACATGGGCTCTCCCACCCTAGCTAATTCCAAGACACCACTGTTGTATTCAGCAGACTGTTATTTGACTAATTCAGAGTGCTCCCTTAAGAGTTCTACTCCCCTTACAGCGTGTGATGTGGCCTGGAGGAAAGGGAGAGGTGAGTGACACTGTTCTCCCCTTTAAAAGGCCTCACCTAGCTGTTGCAAGATACAAAGCAAACTGCCTACTCAGCCTAGAGCAGAGTTCAAAAAGCAGAGTAGCTTCACCTCAAGCCAGAAATACTGTTACAACTGTAGAAAGAGCTGCATAGAGACCCCTGAAAGAGGCACTTCCTGCTTAATATCCTATTTTGGACATGTAATTAGTAGTTTAGGTAGATATGTGAACGCAGATGCTCGTCTAGTCAACTGTTTATTAGGCTGAGCCTGTTTCATTAGATCATACAGTAGCTGGGCCATATAGTTCAACAGGAACATTTCCATAAATAGATAACTGACCTGTATAATCAATATGCTCTATGTTTTATATGTGGTGCTGTACAATCTAGGTTAGTGATGTGTACCATGAAATAAGCTACTCCACCATCTTTAAAGAACATGTGCACACAATCTATTATTTCAAGTCACTCTTTAAAACTTCTGCTGCTGCTTCAGGTGTACTCCTCCACACTTTTCTAGAAGACTTCTATATACTTCCCCCAGATTAATATTGACATTCAACCTAGTCTTAAAAGTATCTTTATTTGTATCTATTAGGCTCAGGCTTTAGAGTTCCCTTAAAAAGCAGTTACATAACTTAAAGGTTGACATTACAAAAAAAGAAAAATCTAAAGGTGCAGTTCAAAAAACCCACTCGTGTCTTTTCAAATATAAAATAGATATCTCCAAGTTACTTATCTAGGAATAGAGCACCACCACTTCTGCATTAGTTGGTCCTGCCAACATCTGGGCCATTAGCCCTCAGTACAGTGTTTAAGATCCCATACTAGAAAGAGCATCTCTGATCTTCAAGTCACTGGCATGATCAGCTGCCTAACAGCAGCAGTCAGACATGCCCTTATGTTTTTAGAAGGCATTCCATAAGTTTCCCTTGGGCAGTGGGCAAGAGACATCCAAACATCTCCTGGGAAGCATATGTCATATATACAAAGCCATCTTCATCTTTGTAGTCCCTGTACACTTCAGCCAATGTCAGAGACATACTGGCCAGACTCTTGTTGTTCACCAGCAGGTAGAAAGCTTGTGTAGCAGTTAGAGCCATTCTGCTTCTAGATTTAGGAAAAACGAGGGGGAAAAGGATTATTTTCTCAATACAAGCCACTTTTGAGGAGTTTTTTTGCAGTGTGTATTAACGACATTATCACAACTGCAATATTTGTCAAACACATTTATCACCTTATACTCCAGAGATGAGCCAGAGTGCTTGGTAAGTCAATATGCCTACTGATGTTAAACCAATCATGTAGGTAGATTTAAATCCAGTCTTATTGTCAAATCCATATTTTTCAGTCTCTGGCTCTTTTATGCAAGTCTCCAAAGTCAAATATTTGAAGCAGAAAAAGCTCTGAAGTCAGGGCTTTGTTTACTCGATTGCAGTTACTAAATACTAAGCAGAGAGCAGAAGTCTCTTCAGCACTGTTCTACATATGATGCAAGATAGAGTATGGCTTTAAACCTTTATTTACAGACATATTCAAAGCTTCACTCAGTCTTTTAAGAGAGATTAGTCCTTCTCAGAGGGGCTCAACTCCCAAGAGTTAGGCCTGTCTGCCCAGCCACCCACACATAGCCTTTGTACTTGATAGAAGCTATTGTATTATATAGAGATCATAGGCTTTTTAAGGCAATGTTCTTTTAAAGACAGACATACTCTAGACTAGAATATACTTAAGAATTACAGGGGTAGAGGACTTCCCTGTAGAGCTTTTCAGCCAATGACCTCAGAGCAATTGAGAAGCAGTTTGCTTCACACAGCCCACACCTGAGACACGTCTGTCAGTTTACTCAGGTTCATAGCAAATCAGTAGCAGTGCTGGGACTAAAAATCTCAGAGTCCTGGTTACCAGTCAACTCCCTTTTTATTTAAGTTCTCCTCACAGAGGCAAGCAGGACATGAATCAGACAGAAACCCTATTTATTTAGGCTCATGGACAAACTTTGTGCTTCTATGCAGTCACTGATTTCACAAGAAGCTCTGAACAGGTTTGGAAAGAAAGCTTATCTTAAAAGAGAGAACACATTGTAGGTTTTACCTCTGTTAGTGTCATGCAGGCAAAAAGAAGGCCACTGACTAGAAGATCTCTGTGCTTCCCACACACAGCACTCAGTAAAACTGAACCCCTCTTGACTGAGTAGTAGAGAACATGATTCAAATTAACATCTAGATTCCAGATCTTGCAAGCCACAGCATAAGAGCACACAGCCACGTTTATAGAGTGCTAATTGCTATGCCAGGGTTTGCTACATACCTAATGATGGTTATAAACTGTGTCATGGTCAGCTCCTGAGGAACAAGAAATTTTGTTTTGTCCAGTAAAGGAAGGTATTTTTCTTTCTGATACCGTTCAACAATTACCTGTTTTTAAGAGAGTAATAAGAGATCACTTTTGAAGCAATTGAAAGTGTTTGATGGTTTTTAAAGAAAAAAAAAAAAAAAAAAAGACTTCAATGGCTGAGCTTTAAACTTATTTAAGAAAGGCTAAAATACTGACATAGCAAATGGAACAGATATATTTACCGGGATTTTTGTTGGGAACTTTGCCCGAATTCCTGCTACTTCTTCCAGTCTAGTTGCTGTGCAAAAGAAAAAACAAATATCATACACATGCATTCCTCAACCTCCAATATAGCTTAGCTATGTACAATACCCAGCTGACTTACCAAAACTCTTTCTCAGTTTAAAAGGTCTAACAGATTGGCTGCTATGCAGAGTTTGCATCTTCTTTACTAGAATACTTCTTTACTAGAGCTTAACAATAACAAGCAGCTCCCAGTCCTCTACCACAGCTGAATTCAAACTGTGAGAAGTTGTTAAGCTGAACCCCTTATAAAGGCCTGGTTGTGACATCATGTTACTCCCTTACCCCACCCCCATTTCTCTCACACAGCAGGGGCGGATTCAACCTGGCTGCAGCTAGTTTACCAGGGAATGGTGGGGTCTGCCTGTTGGACAGAGAGAGTGCAGAGGACTTCTGCCTGTGTTCTGTACCTGCACAGGACAGTGTACACGTCCTGAAAGGACATCCTGACACATTGTATCTCCCATATTATTTGTTTTACTCTTTGTGTGTCAGAAGGTTTTTGGATCCCACTGTTCTTCAAGGTTCTCTACATCGTTCCAGACTCTGCTCTATTTGAGGACAGCTGTCTGTGACTCCTTCCTAGACCCATTAAAAACATGTTACCCAGAGGGGGTTACAAGAGAGCAACTGCAGGCACTTCCTCCTGGGGGGGCCTATGCACGATGCTACCCCTGCACCCCCAAGCCCTTGCCAGAAGAAGATGGGATAGGGCTGGGGCTTTGCTGGATGCATCATGCTGGTGTTATTACAATATGCTATACCTGTAGCAAACTGCCGTGTGAACAAAGTGCTGGGCCGACTTGCTTAGTCTCATTGGGAGAAATGAGGGGTTAATCAGTCATTTGCAGAGGCCTAGGCATAAAGGCCCAGAGCATCAGAGGTATTTAGGCTCCTAACTGACATTAATTTAAGTGGAAATTGAAATCAGTGAAAGTTAGGAGCATAAATACCTTTGAGGAGCTGGGCCAAAGGTCCTATGTGAGGATTTAAGTAAGACATAGGTGGTGCACAGGCCTTATGCTAGCTGTCTGCATGGGTGATTTCACCCATTTTGAATTAAATAAGATTAACCACAGTGCATTGTTTTAGTAACCTACTGAGGTGTGTGCACCTGCCATATTTCATTGCTTAACCCAGCTCCCACATTTTCAATCAGGCACAGGGATGACTTAACATAGCAAGAGAAAAATAGGTCTCATAAGGGCTGTTCGCTTCTGATACAGTGACCATTTTAGGGTACTGATGAGCTTAGAACAGGAGGGGGGGATTGTGAATTATGGTTTTAATTAAAGAGGATTGTGGAGATTGGGGCTACAAAATCAAGGACAGAATGCTGATTTCCCATTAGTGGCAAAGAGCATTTTGCCCAAAAGACTGAAGGTTGCATTTGGCTGTTAGGTTGTAACTAAACATTTAGGTTAGTAAAGTGTTGTATTCAGTGTCACTCAGTGGAAAAAAAATTAAGCACCATATTTCTGTATCTCTTATCTTTTATCTCTGCATTCCTCTGCAGAGATGGTCTTATGGTAAAAGCACAGGCCTGCAAGCCAGAAAATGTGGGGTTTCTTCCCAGCTGTACCGACAACTTCATTAATTTAAATTAAAAGTCATCCAAACTGAAAGATGTTTTACTTTTTTTGCCTGACACATAATGCTCTGTAAAGGGAATCCAGGTACCCATAAGAGAATCTTTAACTTATAGTACTCTATGGCCCATCTGCTTTCCCTTTTCACCTGGTTCTGTCTCCAACTTGTCAGTTAAGTTCTTACAAGTGTCCCTTAAAATTATTTCCTTCATTTTGAAAAAGGGCCCCTCTTTTTCACACTATCCTGTACCCACACTGGCTCACTTTCTGAATAATTCTGGAAGGTGACTTTTATACCAGAATCTAGCTTTTGTCTCCCAGAAGCACTAACATGGTATTCTGGTTTTGGGTTTTTTGTTGTTTTTTTTTAACAGCTTCGAAATGGATTTCAGATCTGTCTACCTGCTGATTATAGTCAGACACACCCTCAACCACTTGCATTGCTTGTATCCCTGTAACTACTACAGCTGTCAAGATAGTTTCTCAACCAAACATGACTTGCTAAAAAGTAAAGTCAATAGAAGACTGATTGCTCTTTCTGTAAGCCATACTAATGAATGGCTGTAACTTATCCCAGCTACTCTGATTGTGTTACATAAGCATTGATAACATGGTAGTTAGTATTCTATTCAGCCTATCAGATTGGGGGAAACATAGGGTTGTTCAAGGTTTATTAATTACTAAGCTGTACATGGCTATTTGTATAGGGCAGAATCAAAGTTACTACCTTGCTTCAGTTTTGTCAGTTCTCACAGTTTTATTACCAGTCTTGCAATATTTGCTCTTATGATTAAACTCCTAGTTCCTGGAGTCGTGTGAATATGGGAGAATCTTGGAGTTCATTTAAAAATAAAAGAAAGTTTCTAGCCCTCATTGTTACAGAGAAATGCTTTGAAAATGTGTCCCAAGTGCAACCTAAAGGCTCGGAAAGAAGGTGGCAAAGGCAAATTAGTTACAAAAAAAATCTCATGACTTCAAGCCAATCTTGTGATTTGTAGGTGCCTGATTCATCATATCTGCATGCTTTGGATTGGCAGTACTGCTGGTCCAGACTTCGAGGGGCTCCAAACCTGCAAATGAATTCCTCAGCTAGGGCTTTTGTCACAGCACCAGCTTCCTGGTCTGATAGCCAGTATTTATTACCAAAGGGAACAGAGAAGACAAGATCCTTGCCCCAAGCTTACAAACAAAGACCCTGGTCCAAACAGGATCAGGGCCTAAGCCCATGATCCTGGAAATTCCTGCACGTGGGCAGACCCCTGCATCTGCCCTGTGGGAGCCACTATTTTGCCAGTTAGGTCAATAGATCCTACTTTAGCCAAAAATTGTATCTACTCCTTAATAGTCAACTGTTCTGTCATCCTGCACAGAAGCTAGTGTCTGAGGTATTTAGCTATCAGACACAAGGGCTCTCAAGCCAGTTTCATTAAGCTTAGGCTTCAGACTAAGAAGTACAGACTTTATCTGTAATAAATCCCACATATTTGTGTAAGGTGTGAGCTCAGGATTAATTTTTTGCTCTTTGGGATGTTCAGTCCTGCCTTCCCATGCCTTGGCTTTAAGCCTTACTCTTATGGAACCTTGTATCTTGTCCAGTTTTTATGGGAGTTGCACCCACATAACAGAGAGCAGGAACTGGCACATAGTGCCTCAGCTAACCCTTTTAAAGATGTCATGTCATCCTGCTCAACACATCGCAGGCAGAAGTCACCAGAATCGGAGGCCTCCTGGACTACGACCTGGGAGACTGGGTGGATCCCCTGACACTCGCTCAGTGCATGGGGCTCTCCACCCTTTGTACTCCCCGGCACATACTTCAGGAGGTGAGGGCAGCCTTACTGCCCACTGCTCGGGTTTACCTCGAGCGGGTCTTGTGGGAGGGTGCTCCCTGCTCACCCTACACCACAGGCCTTCGGGATATCTTCACAGGGCCCCTGCCCCGTGAGTCCCCCCTGCTCCCCCGCTGCTCCACCCATACACCCTGAGCCGGCTGCATGACCTGCAGTTGGTTCGTTTTCGAACCGTGCCAAGGGTGCATCTATACACTCTTGTGCTCCATACTCTCCATTTCCTCACCCTCGTTTCCCACCCCGATGCTAAGTGGCAGGACCTATTGCCACCTGTTGAGGATGAGGAACCCCGGTGGGCCAGCCTATATTCCACCTTGGTTCCACGGCCCACCGGGGATATCAGTTGGTGGCTCCCCCATGGAGCCGTGAACATGGGTGTGTACTTGGTGTGGTTCACCTCCGTCCCCGACGCCTGTCCCTTTTGCGGTGTGAGGAAGACCCTGGCGCATGTATACCTGGAGTGCGCCAGGTTGCAGCCCCTATTCTGGCTCCTCCTAGACATCCTTTTATGTTTTGGGTGCACTTTTCTCCTCACCTTCTTATATACGCACAATCTATCCGTAGCCCCACAAAGTCACGGAACCTCCTTGTCAACTTCCTCCTAGTGCTGGCCAAAGTGGCCATCTATAAGACCAGGGAGAGGAGGTTGGCTGAGGGGGTTTCCTGTGACTGTGGGACCTATTTCCGATCCTCCCTCCATTCATGCATCCAGGCAGAGTTGCTCTGGGCAGCGTCCACTGGCTCCCTTGACACCTTTGAGGAGCAGTGGGTGCTGTCTGGGGTTCTCTGCTCGATGTCCTGTTCTGGTTCCTTATTTTTGGCCCTTTGACCCTCACACCCGTCCTTGTTATTTTTTTCCATTGTCACCTGTAACTACTTGAGTTCTTGGGCCTTGTGGATCCTCCCCAAAGGCTGGGGGAGGGGCTTGCGCCCACCCACCTCCTGGGTTTTCCAGTAAGACCTCCCGGAACCCAATACGAAAGACCTGAGTAGAGAGAAAGGGCCAATTAACCCTGTGACAGGCTGCACCTGGAGGAGAATCAGGGCTGATAAGTGTTTAATTGATGATGGAGACCAGCTCAACAAGGGGCAAGCTAAGATACTATAAAACCAAGAGGTATGATATAAGAGCCCTAAGAGGGCTGTAGAACAGGAGGCCTGTAGTTGATTTCTGGGCTTAGAGATGGATGCTAAGGGCAAATAGAAGCCCTGGTCCTGAAGGAAAAGTGTACCTAGAGGAAAAGGTGTACCCAGAGATACAGAGAAGGATTATGATCGAGATGAAGTAGGAAATAGCCTAGGGAAAAAGTATCAAGGTTTGGGATAGTGCAGACCTTAGCCACCAGTTGCAGGGTCCCTGGGCTGAAACCTGGAGTAGAGGGTGGGACTGAGTTCCCCTGCTAGTCATGGGGGAGGTGGTACAGGCTGGATAGTGGAGCAGAAGACTGTCTAAGACAGTTTTTCCAGTAGGACTTTCTTATCCTAGAAAGGGAGGACTATAGTGACCTGGCTGGAGGACCAAACCAAGAAGAAGGAGTACCCTGAGTGATGAAGAGGGTATAACCTGACTCCTGAGAGACTGAGAGTATGGGCTGAGACACTGAAAGAAGGGGTGTCAGACTGGTCATGAGCTAATCCCTGGATAAGTGACAAGGATGTACAAGGATGAGTAGTGAACCTCATGACAGGCTCCCTCCAGGTATTCAATGCCCTTCCCGGTGTTGGCCCTAGTTTCCTTCCTCTCCATGCCCATGACTGCTGGG